TACACATTCTTCTCAGCAGTACATAGGTAATTCTCTAAAATAGACCATATATTAGCACACAGATCATATTAAAATAAATGTAAAAGAACTGAAATTATCCCTTGCATGCTATCAGATCATAGTGCCATGAAATTAGAAATTAATGATAAAAGATACTGAAAAATTCCCATAAACATATGGAAATTGAATAACACACTCTTGAGTAATCAGTGGTTCACAGTGGAAATTAAAAAGCAAATTAAATAATACAAACAAGCAAATGAAAATACGAATACAACTTATCAGAATCTAAAGGATGCAATGAAAGCAATCCTCAGAGGAAATTTATTGCACCGAGTTCCCATATCAGGAAAATAGAACGAATACAAATAAACAACCTGATGTTGCACCTCAAACATCTAGAAAAAGAAGAGCAAGTCAAGCCCAAAGCCAAAAGAAGAGAGAAAAATATAAAAAGCAGAGCAGAAATTAATGCAATAGAAACTAAGAAAACAATCCAAAGAATCAATGAATCAAAGAGTTGGTTCTTTGAAAGAATAAATAGATGGATAAGCCCCTAACCAACCTTATTTTAAAAAGGGAAGAAAAAGCTCAAATTCATGAAATCACTACAAACTGTAGAAATATAGAAGATCATCAACACTTACTTCAAAAACCTCTACCCTCATAGGTTTGATAACACAGAAAAAATAGACAGATTTCTAGAAACACATGAAGTACCAAAGCTAGGTCAAGAATATGTAAAACTATTGAATAACCCAATTTCTATTAATGAAATTGAAAAAGTAATTAAGTCCTTACCTACTCAGAAGAGCCCAGGCCCAGATGGATTCACTGCAGAATTCTACAAGAAATACAAAGAAGACTTAATGCCGACACTCCTCAAACTGTTCAATGAAATTGAAAGGGAAGCAATCCTTCCTAAGTCATTTCTGGAAGCAAATATTACCTTAGTACCAAAACCATAGAAAGACCCAACTAAAAAAGAGAACTACAGGCCTATCTCCCTAATGAACACAGATGCAAAAATCCTCAATAAAATATTGGCAAATAGGATCCAGCAAATCATCAAGAAGATTATACACCATGACCAAGTGGGATTCATCCCAGGTATGCAGGGATGGTTCAACATACATAAATCAATAAATGTAATTCACCATCTTAATAAAACCAAAAGTAAGAATCACATGGTCATTTCTATAGATGCAGAAAAAGCTTTTGATAAGGTCCAAAATTCATTCATGATAAGAACCTTACAGAAAATTGGAATAGATGGTCTTTACCTCAATATAATAAACAGCCAGTATCATACTAAATGGTCAAAAATTGAAGGCCTTTACTTTAAAATCAGGCACAAGACAAGGGTGTCCCTTACCCCCACTCCTATTTAATATAGTACTGGAAATACTAGCCAGAGCAATTAGACAAGAAAGAGAAATAAAAGGGGTAAAGATAGGAAAAGAAGAAGTCAAATTATCATTATTTGCAGATGACATGATACTCTAAATATAAGACCCCCAAAACTCCATTGAAAGACTCTTAGACATAATAAATATATTCAGCAAGGTAGTTGGATACAAAACCAATACTCAAAATCAATAGCATTCCTATATACTACCAACAAGATCACAGAGAGAGAAATAAGTGAAGCCACACCCTTCACGCTAGCAACCAAAAAAATGAAATATTTAGGAATTACTCTCATGAAAGAAGTGAAAGACCTATACAGGGAAAATTATAATACGCTGAAAAAGAAATTGAAGAGGATCTCAGAAAGTGGAAAGACATCCCTTGCTCATGGATAGGAAGAATAAATATTGTGAAAATGGCCATTCTCCCAAAACTGTTACACAGATTCAATGCAATCCCAATAATAATACCATCAATATACCTCATAGATCTAGAGAAATCACACCTAAAATTCATCTGGAGTGAGAAGAGTCTTAAAATAGCAAAGACAGTTCTAAGCAGTGAAGGCAAGGCAGGAGGCATCACAATCCCTGACTTGAAGTTATACTACAAAGCAACAGTAGTAAAATAAACATGGTTCTGCAATCAAAACAGAGCTGAAGATCAACGGAATACATTAGAAGATACAACCACAACTACCAACACACTCAACACCTTATCTTTGATAAAGGGGCCAAACATGTTCACTGGAAGAACGACAGTCTCTTTAATAAATGGTGTTGGAAAAACTGGCTCTCCGTATGCCGAAAACTAAAACTAGACCCATGCCTATCACCATGTACTAAATTAAAATCTAAATGTATCAAAGATCTAAATATTAAAACAGAAACACTAATTCTATTGGAAGACAAATTGGGTAAAAACCTTGAAGATATAGGGGTAGGTAGAGAATTCATGAATAGGACTCAAACCACATGGGAAATACCTCCCAGAATCAATAACTGGGATCATGTCTTATTAAAAAAGTTTCTGCATGTCAAAAGAAATCTCCAGCATAGTGAAAAGAAAACCCACAAACTGGGAAAAGATTTTAGTGAACTGCCCCTCAGCAAAGGACTTCTGTCTAAAATATATAAAGAATTTAAAAAAAAATCAGACCCCCAAAATTCAAAGATCTAATCCAAAAATGGGCATCTGAGATGAATACACACTTCTCAGATGAAGAAATACAAATGGAAAATAGATACATGAAAAAAATGTTCATCATCATTTCTCATTCCATCTCACTCCTGAAATAATGGCCAGGATCAAGAAAACCACCGACAACAAATGCTGGAGAGGCTGTGGGGAAAAAGGAACTCTCCTGCACTGTCGGTGGGAGTGTAGACTGGTGCAGCCTTGGTGGAAGTCAGTCTGGAGATTTCTCAAAAATCTGGGATTGGAAGTCCCACTGCTTTCAGCTATTACACTTCTAGGCATATTCCCAGAAGAACTGAAAGTACATCATACCACAGTGATATATGTTCACCCAAGTTTATAGCAGCACAATTTGTAATAGTCAGATCTTGGAAACAACCTAAGTATCCATTAACTGAGGAATGGATAAAAAGTTGTGGTATTTTTATAAAATGGAGTACTACTCATCTATAAAGAATGATCAAACTGAGATATTTATAAACAAATGGGCATAGCTTGAGACCATATTCATAAGTGAAATAAATCAAACCCACATGTATAAATACCGAATTGTTTCCCTAGTGTAAGAAATAATAATACATAAAAATATGTGGGAATCATGATTCCCCATTATGTGGCTTTGAACCCTTATAATGTTTTCATTCATTAATTATAATGGTTTTATTCTGGGCTGTTGGACTTTATTGTCTGAGATGGTATGAACGGCTATTTTGGAGAAAACAAGACATCATAATAGCTAGTGCTGATTTAATATCATCTTGTTTGACGTCCCATCAAGCTTTTGTTCTTCTGTCTCCATCAGTCTTAAAATTTTGTATCTGATTGGATTTTATTATAATAATATAATAAATATTATTTGTGATAATATAAACAAAAACTTTTATAGACAACATAATACAGAAACCATTGTTGGTTTTCTGTTAGCTGGTTCTAAATACTCTGTAATACTGTCATTCTCTTGAAATACTTTACATTGTTTTGATATGTTTGATGCTACAGTATATGAAGTTATACTCAAATATTTCAAGGAAAGAGACACCATTTTAACCACTTTTATGTCGGGATGTCTTGTGGTGAAATACTATGTTGCTTAAATTGTTATATTCTGACCTGTGCTGTTTTGTTGTTGTGTCCTCTTTTATCTCAGTCTCCTATTTTATTATTTATTTTTTTTATCTTTTTAATTAAGGGGAAAAATGAATAAAAATAGCAGGATATATTATAGCAACCCACTTTGATTTCCTATTAACTTGATTTGAAACCCTGTGTTGCTCTCACCATCTTGTTTTGACTGATTTTACTCTATTCTGTTTTGCTTGATAGTATCAAGTTTGAGAGTATAGGCAACAACCTTGAAGACAATAAGGTTCACTATGATACCCATTCTGGTTTGACTATTATCTTCTTTTGAAGTCCTGTAATGTTTCCAATGTTTTGGTTTTATTGGTTTTGTTCAATTTTATTATAACATGATATGGGCAATTTTTTTTTTTGAGATAGCAAGAGGCATTATGGTAACCATTGCTGATCACTTTGTATTCTGATTTTACATTATGTACTATATCCATTCTTTTGATTTGACTGACTCTGTTTCCTTGTGTCACATTTGGTTTTATTCTCTTCAAAAAAAAGTAATAAGAACTGTGGGAGTAATAAAACCCAACACTTGTAATTGTCGTTGTAAAAAAGAGAGGAAAAGAAAGTGCTCTAAAGGATATAACTGCATGTATATTTAAGCATATAAGGTAGATAGCCATATTATTGAGTTTTTGTTGGACCATTGAACAGAACTGTTTGCAGACTCACTGTTTGAATGTCCACTTTATATGCTTTAATTTTGTAACTTGAACAACTATTTCTAGGATGACAATGGGTAAGCTATTAACTAGTGATTTCCTACTGTTTCTTTTTTGAAATTCTGCAATACTTGTACGTTTCTTCTGTTTTTTTTCTTTTTCTCCTTAAATAAATTTTTTTTAAAAAAGAGTTTCTCAGATCACCAGGCACAAACTATGCAAAATTGATCCCGCCCTATGAATGGTAACTGTCTTGTTCCAAGAACTAACAGAATTTGTAGCACAAGCACCTTTCTTAAATGGGTTTATAAGAATTAAGATATTTTTTTTATTTCCCTTCTTTTTATTTTCTCCTTTTCCTTGAGTATTATTTTCCTCCTTTGAGCAGATTCTTTCCCTTTCACAATATTCGTTGAGGATTTTGTATCCTACATACTCTTATCACTTCTTATACTAAGGAGACAATATGGTATATATACATGTATGATTTATTTCACTTTTGAATATTGTCTCAAGTTGCATTCATTTACCTATAAAAATCTCAATGTGATCATTTTTTACAGCTGAGTATTCCGTTGTATACAAGTACCAGATCTTGTGCTTGCTTTGGCAGCACTTACACTAAAATTGGAATAATACAGAGAATATTAACATGGCCCCTGTGCAAGGATGACATGCAAGTTCAAGATGCAGAAGTCAACAAAAATGACATAGGCAAACTGTTCACAGAACTAATAGCAGACAGTTTCACAAACATGGGGAAAATATCTGATATGCAGATAAGTGAGGCATAGAGTATGCCAACTAGTCACAACCAACACAAATATACCCAGACATATAATAATTAGAATGCCAGACATAAAACATAGAAACAATACTAAAAGCTGTTAGAGAAAAGACACAACTCACCTATCAAGGAAAGCCCATCAGAATCATGGCAGATTTTTCAGGACAAACTCTCAAGTTAAGGTGAGCTTGGAGTGAAATATTTCAGACCTGAAAGAAAACAACTTTCAAACCAGATTGATATACCCAGCAAAATTGTCTTGCAAATTTAATGGAGAAATAAGATACTTCCATAACAAAGGACAACTGAAGAAATTTGTGTCCACCAAACCAACCCTAGAAAGACTATTGAAAGATGTACTAGATAGAGAAAAATGACCACAATGTCCAGAACAACAGCAGAAAGACACCACAAGTGAGTACAAGCAATTAAACAAGGGGAAAAAGCAGAAAACAAACAGAAACATAACATGACAAAGTTGAGCCAGTACCTATCAGTTGTATCCATACATGTAAATGGCCTCAATTCACCCATGAAAACAAATGGGTTGACATAATGGATCAAGAAACAGGATCCCAAAATATCCTGTATAATAGAAACACATTTGACTCAGAAGGAGACTCATAGATTAAAAGTCAAAGAATGGAAAACAATATTCCACACAACAGGAACCCAGAAAAAAGCAGGGGTAGCTATTCAGTTTGCAGACAATATGAACTTCAAACCTACAATGATTAAAAGAGATAAAGAAGGTCACTACATGGTTGTTAGTGGAAAACTTTAAGAAGAACTGACAATTATAATTATGTATTAACCAAATACAGGAGCAACCACCTGTATAAGATAAATATTAATGGGCATGAAAAGTCAAATACACAAGGACACAATTATAATAGGAGATCTTAATATCCCACTGTCACAAAAAGATAGATCAATTAGACAAAAAGTCAGCAAAGACATAATAGAACCGAATTATTCCTGTGAGAAAATGGATTTAGTAGATCTTTACAGAGTGTTGCAACCAACCACATCAGAATACACATTCTTCTCAGCTGCACATGGGACAGTCTCGAAAATAGACCATATATTAACTCATAAAACAGTCTTAAGTAAATATGAAAGGATTGAAATTATCCTGTGCATAATATTTGATCATAGTGCACTGAAATTGGAAATTAATGGCAAAAGAAATTACAAAATCAGCATAGATACATGGAAGTTAAATAATAATCTTCTGAAAACCAGTGAGCTACAGGTGAAATTAAACAAGAAATAAAGCAATACATACAATTCAATGAAAATGCAGATACAATATACCATAACTGTGGGATGCAATGAAGGCAGTCAAAGAGGGAAATAGATAGCAATAAATTGTCACATCAGGAGAATGGAATGAGCACAAATAAACAACCTGATGCTACATTTCAATCTAGAAAAGAAAGAGCAAGTCAAACCCAAAACTCACAGAAGAGAGAAAATTGTAAAGGTCAGAATAGGAATTAATGCAATTGAAACTAAAAAAGAAATACAAATATTAACAAATCAAAGAGCTGACTTTTTGAGAGAATAAACAAAATTGATAAACCTCTATCCCACCTTATCAAGAAAAAGAAAGAAAAATTCAATTTCATGCAATAAAGACTGAATAGAGGGAAATTACTACAGATCCCATAGAAATTCAAAAGATCATGAACACTTACTTTGAAAATCTCTACTCACATAAGGTGGAAAACACAGAGGAAATGGACAGATTTCTAGAAACATATGAAGTACGAAAGCTCAATCAAGAAGACATGACAATTTTGAATAACCCAATATCAGCTATTAAAATTGAAATTGTGATTAAAATATTCCAACAAAGAAAAGCCCAGGTCGTGATAGATTCACAGCTGAACTCTACAAGAAATTTAGAGAAGATCTGATGCCAATACTCCTTAAACTCTTCTATGAAATTGAAAGAGAAGCAATCCTCCCTAACTCATTCCTGAAGACAAGTATCACTCTGATACCAAAACTAGATAAAGACCCAACCAAAAAGGAGAACTATAGGCCAGTCTCTCTAATGAACATTGAGGCAAAAATTCTCAATAAAATACTCATAAATAGAATTCAGCAAAACATCAAGAAGATTCTACAGCATTACCAAATGGGATTTATTCCAGGAAGGCAGGGATTGTTTAACATACACAAAGTAGTAAATGAAATATACCATACCAACAGAACCAAAAACAAAAATCACATGATCATCTGAATAGACACAGAAAAAGCTTCTAATAAAGCCCAACATTTGTTCATGATAAACCCCCTAGTGAAACTCAGGATACCTCAATCTTATAAAGGCCATCTATGACAAACTGATATAATAAATTGACAAAATGAGAGCCATCATTCTAAATTCAGGAGCAATACAAAGATGTCTGCCATCAACATTCCTATTCAATGTAGTTCTGGAAATATTAGCCAGAGCAATCAGACAAGAGAGAGAAATAAAAGGAATTATGATAGGCAAGGAAGAAGTTAATTAATATTTTCTGGTCACATGAAACTTTATATAGAAGACCCAAAAAGCTCCAATGAAAGACTACTAGAGGTAATAAACAAATTTGGAAGCATAGATGGACACAAAATCAACACTCAATAATTGATAGCACTCCTGCACACAAACAAAAATTCACTGAGAGAGAAATTATGCAAATACCACCTTTCACAATAGCATCTAAAAATGAAATACATAGGAGTATGTATTTGAACCTAACCAAGAATGTAAAAGATCTATATGCCAAAAATTATACCAGTCTGAAAAAGGAGATTGAAGAGATATTAGAAAATGAAAAGATATTCCTTGCTCTTGGTTAGGCAAACACTGTGAAAATGGCCATACTACCAAAACTGTTATAGAGATTTAATGCAATCTCAATCAAAATATCATTAACATACCTTACAGATCTAGAGAAAACACTCCTAAAATTTATTTGAAACAGAAGAAACCTAGAGTAGCACAGGCAATCGAGGCAGCAAAGACAAAGCAAGATGCATCTCAATTCCTGGCTTGAAATTATACTACAAAGCCTCAGTGATAAAAATCAGCATGGTAATGGCAAAGAAACAAATCTGAGGATCAGTGGAATAGATGAGAAGATGCAAACACAACTACAAAGACACTCAGCCACCTGATATTTGACAAAGCAGCCAAACATATTCACTGGAAAAAGGATTGTCTGATTAATAAATTGTACTGGAAAAGTTTGCTTTCCACATGCCGGAGACTGAAACTAGACCCATACCTATCATGATACACTAAATTAAAGTCAAAATGGATCAAAGATCTAAATATTAAAGCAGAAACAGTAAATCCTGGAAGATCAGGTAGGTAGAAACCTCAAGACATAAGTGTAGGCAAAGAATTCATGAACAAAATACAAACTGCATGGGAAGTACTTCAAAGAATCAACAACTGAGATCTCATATTATTAGAAAGCTTTTGCACTTCTAAAGAATTCACCAACAAAGTGAAAAGAAAACCCACAGAATAGAAAAGGATTTTAGCCAAAAATGGCTCAGATAAAGGACTTATATCCAGAATATTTAAAGAATTGAAAAACATCAAGCCAACCCAAATTCAAAGACCCTCTCCAAAAATGAGCACCTGAGATGAACATACATTTCTCAGATCAAGATATACAAATGCCAAATAAATACATGAAAAAGTGTTCACCATTACTGGTCATTTGAGAAATGCAAATTAAAACAGCACTGAGATTTTATCTAACTCCAGAAAGAATGGCTTCTATCAAGAAATCAACTGATAATAAATATTGCGGAGGTTATGGGGAAAGAGGAACACTTCTACACTGTTGGGAGTAGAGACTGGTGCAGCCACTATGGAAATCAATATGGAGATTACTCAACAAACTAGGATTAGAAGTTCAGTTCAACCTAGCTATTCCCCTCTTGGGTATTCCCCACCCCACCCCACCCCGCCCCCCCAAAAATTGAAAAGATCATGCCACAGTGATGTGTGTGTTTGTAGCAACATGATTTGTAATAGCTAAATATTGGAAACAATCAAAATGCCCATCAGTTGCAGAGTGGATGAAAAAGAATTGGTATTTTTATACAATGGGATATTTCTCAGCTATGAAAAAGGCTGATCTTGAGGCCTTTATAAGTAAATGGAGACCACCTGAGACTATCCTCATAAGTGAAATAAATAAGGCTCATATTAGTAAATACCACATTCTCTCCAGTGTAAAAATAATAAAAACCGAAAGAGTAATAAGATCCAAAATATATAATAGATACTATGAAATTGAAAGGGAAGGAAAGTGCTCTATAAGATACAACTGTATGTTTAAGTGTGTAAGATAGATGACCACATTACTAAGTTTTCATTAGATCATTGAAGAGCATGGTTTGTACTGTCAGTGTTTGAGTGTCTGTCCACTTTTCATACTTTTCTTTTGCAACTTGAACAACTAGTTCTAAAAGAACAATGTATAACTTTGCAACTAGTAATTTTTTAGTATTTATATTTTTATTTAAAATTATTTATTGCTTCTACTCTTTTTTTCTGTGCTGTCTTTTTTCCCTTTTTTTTTCTTTAATAAAGAAAAATAAGATGAGATCCCATTTACTGATTCTGGGAAGTATGTCACCTGGGTTTGATTACTGTTCATGAATTCTCTACCTGCCCCTATGTCTCCAAGATTTCTACCTACTTTGTCTTCCAGCAGATTTAGTGTTTCTGTTTTAATATTTAGATCTTTGATACATTTAGACTTTAGTTAAGATGTGGTGAAAGTCATAAGCCCGGTTTTAATTTTTGGCACATAGAGAGCCAGTTTTTCCAGCACCATTTATTAAACAGACTATGTTTCTTCCAGTGAATGTGTTTGGCCTCTTTATCAAAGATAAAGT